TGAATCAGCAAAAGACGCGACTATACTTAACGAAAGTGACACATATGCGGTGAATGCTAAACCACAAGATATGCCGTCAACGGGTGAATCATTAGACGACATTTACTGTGTCGGAGATACTCGGGGAGTTCCGGATTTTGTTGACATATCAGAAATTTGCCGGAAGCAACGAAGCCGAAACACTCGTAAAACGGCACGTACTGTTCAATTCAAGTCGTCAATCATCTCAGGAGAGTCGGCAGACATCGGAGGGGAGTCGGTGGTCGTCAATAAGAAGTCGGCAGTTACCGGAGTTGAGTCAACAGTCATCGGAAGAAAGTCGGCAATCATCAGAGGGGATTCGTCAGTCTCCGTAAGGAGGTCGACAGCAATCGAGGGAAAATCAACAGTCATAGGACGGGAGTCAGCAATCATCGAAGAGGAATCGACAGTTATTGGAAGGAAGTCGGCAATCATCGGAGGAGGGTCGGCAGTCATCGGAAGGGAACACACTGATTACCCAAATAGGCAAATATCTCCAGAATATCAAGTTTCAGAGGGAGCACCGATGCTGCCACCAAAAGTAGGTTTAAAGAAGAATGCAAAGGCTACGACCAGTCAGGGAGAATCGGTTTACGAAGTCGACGACCGCCGTACAAGTATAGGTATCACCAGGGAAGTTCATGCGTGTGGTGACGCCACTCGAAGAGTTAAAAAGCTTGGGCAACGCAGAGGGATGCTTCGAAGCCGAGACTTTGAGGACACTGTTATTCCCGATAATCTGTCAAAAAATGTAACCTTCTTTAACAAATCCGGTATGTGCTTCAGTTTGTTTGTGTATGATATCCGTGATTTACCAGTGTCGACACCGTACAATCGCCTTACCTTTAATGTCAACATTTCGACATCATGTCACGATGTTATACGATTCCTGTATTAAATATGATTGAAATAATCACAAAATAATGTGTATAATTTTAATATGTTCTGTTTTTATTTCAGTAAGGCCTGCAGGGAATTTGAATAAGTTTAGTGTGCGGGAGGTCGTTCAACTATTTCGTCAACTTGGATTTCGTGAAGAAGTTATATTGTGTTTTTCCGGTAATCGTATCGATGGTGACGCATGTTCCCTTTTAACCAAAGCAGACATGAAACGATACAGAATGAACGAGAAAGAAATATCTCGGCTCCAGGATTATATTCAGGAATCTAAACATAATCCACAGTATACTACAAGTAATATTTACGAAGTGTCTTAAGATCTAAAAGAATTATAAACATCGGAGGTGTTGCACTATCGTGTGATGGCGCGCTTCCCTAAATGTGACATTGAGATCAAGGTTTCTCACAACTAGACTTGAGAGACATTGCTGTTCTACGCCAAGTGCCAATAAGTTATGTACACCAAATGAATAGAAAGAAAGAAAAAAAACAAAAAGAGCAATCAATATAAACAGTATTAACATAATTCTGAGTTCATCCCGGCCTTACTGGTACTGACAATACTGGTACTGACAATACTGGTACTGGCAATACTGGTACTGGCAATACTGGTACCGACAATACTGGTACCGACAATACTGGTACTGGCAATACTGGTACCAGTACCGACAATACTGGTACTGACAATACTGGTACTGACAATACTGGTACCGACAATACTGGTACTGACAATACTGGTACCGACAATACTGGTACTGGCAATACTGGTACCAGTACCGACAATACTGGTACCGACAATACTGGTACCGACAATACTGGTACTGACAATACTGGTACTGACAATACTGGTACCGACAATACTGGTACCGACAATACTGGTACTGGCAATACTGGTACCAGTACCGACAATACTGGTACTGACAATACTGGTACCGACAATACTGGTACTGACAATACTGGTACCGACAATACTGGAAAACTGACCAAGCAAAGCACAAACAAATTTACACTATTTCGAAACGATCGATGCACTTGTGTTTATTACTGGGCGCATGCGTACTAGTGTTTTAATAATTTATTAACTGCATACTGGAATGTTTATTACCTGAAGTACACTTTTAATGCACAATGACTCGTACTCAATGTATAACAATGTAATATTATATGAATCCAGTTACCTTAAGGTAGAGTTTACCTGACAGGTATTTTAATCAGTTAATTAGGAAACCAAGATGACCTCCCTTGTCCACAAAACTATATATTTTTGGAAAGCTTATTGTATCAATTTTAATATTTTGTTAATATTTTTTTATGGACACTGTAGTTTGAAATGTGCACAAAAATGTGCTGTTTTTTTGGTCAAAAGTGATTAAAAAAAATTAGCTT